GCTCAAGCACCCGGTAGCAGTGAGTAGCAGTATTCCTACAGAACACTGACACTGATGATGTTGCATGATGAGCTCTAACAAGAGGCTGGCCTCAGAACTCCTTTTAGTCTAGAATATCCCATAGCTCTATTACTATTATTGTGTAGAACACTCTTCTACCGTTTCCTGGTGTAAATTTGCCAAAAAAAAAGAAGAAGAGGAAATCACGCATCTACGCCTGATGCTCGAAGAAAAAGAACAACACCCTGTTTTGGCCTGCTGGACAGTTATTTGGAAATATTGATAATCCAAATCATGTATCACGGGAAGCTTGTTCACTTTTATAATTCCTGCTGCCTATTCAGAAACCCCATGTGTCATGACATCATACTATACAAGAAAAGTCTCCTTTATTTCTCAGTTTTCCGCTCCGTACTCTAGAAGAAGAAAAAACACGCCACATTGTGTTACTACTGTCCACCGCACAAAACTCACTATTTAATACTAATCGTTATTCTTGTTTTTTTTGCAAACTGGAATATCTGCTTCACAAAAAAAGTTTTATTTAAATGTAGACGTGCGGATTGTTGCTGTTGCCGGACACCAACACTTCTCGCCGTAGCTCTTGGGAAAATGCAGTGGCGTCCTCACGGTGCAGTGGTGCCCGAAAGTGACTGGTGTGTGCGCTGGTGTGACGTCAGTGCAGCATGACTGGTGTGTGCGCTGGTGTGACGTCAGTGCAGCATGACTGGTGTGTGCGCTGGTGTGACGTCAGTGCAGCATGACTGGTGTGTGCGCTGGTGTGACGTCAGTGCAGCATGACTGGTGTGTGCGCTTGTGTGACGTCAGTGCAGCATGACTGGTGTGCTGATGCGAGTTAAGTGTACAGTACTGTCAGGCGCCGAAGAACAAACAGGCTGGGATTTCACCCATGTTTGGACTTAGTGCTATGACAGCTTGCTGCCACATTTGAGTGATATCGTATGCACGAGATACGCATGCAGTTTCTTCGCATGTGCCACTCTGTAGAGATCCTCATCTCCCGGTAGAAATCTGGCCCAGAACACGATACCGCTAAGCCGGAGACACTAACACCGGCTTTATGTGTTTTCTCTACGCTCCACTTGCAGCAGAACTTCCATAATTTTAAAATAATCTTGATACGGTGTAATGACTGTAGTCACCTCGGGGAGATTGTTTGTTGTAGAGAGTACTAAGAGCCAGTCTTCGTACTCCCTGGTTTGTTGATTTGAAACAGGGATAATTGAGCAATGGGGGAAATTGAAACATTCGAGACTTCATGATTATAGTATGCAAATGCTGACCTGCAGCATTCATACACGGCACAAATGCAAATTATTTATGCTCCTGTGCACGCCAAGAATTCTAGCCAAGTCGAAGAAAAATAAAATGCATTCTTTGCTCGCGGAAAAGTTGAAAACGTTGAAGACTGAGAAGGCTGGCGGGATAGAGGAACACAGTGCCATGTTAGTGTGCCTGGTCCCTCCCTGTCCAACACTCAGATTGGCTTTAGATTGCAGGTGGTCTGGCCAGAGCACTTCATGTACTGCTCCAGACGAGCCTGATTAGCAATGAACACAACAGAGGAACATAGCACCGTCGTTCTACCGAGCCTGGCAGTGCGGTGGATAACACATCATCAATTGAGGTTCGTTCGGCATGCATTTAGCTCGACACAATTAAATTAATGAGCGCAACTGGTGTCAACTCACAAAGTTACACGAGCAGAAAGTTGATATCAGTTATTCTGTTAGTCCTTCCATGGGCATAGGATACGCTGAGAGAGGAGTGTCCCAAGAATCCGAAAAAAAGCCTCCTTCAATAATATTATTGGAAATGAGGGAGTCGAGGCAGGCACTCCTCTTTACGACCCATATGCATGTTCTTGTCTTGCCGCCCTCTCTGGTTTACTGTTAGCATGTTAATTGTATTGTATTTGCCAATGCACTTGCAACTGAACTGTATTCACATGGAACACAGCCATGAGTAAAAATGGCAGTCACTCGTACAGTGGAATGTGTTGAGGGACAGGGTCTCACCTGGTATGCACTGTGCTTTGCCGGTGTCAGTTGTTTGAACGTGTTCTTCATCTGCCAGGTATCCTATGGATTGCAATATGCAGTAAACACACACACACGCACACACACACACACACACACACACACACACACACACACACACGCGCGCGCGCGCGCGCGCACACACACACCCAGATCGCGCCATGACCCCACGGCCAGACAATAATACACATGCATCACATGCCACCAAACAGGCAGTAGCACATCGTTGAGAGCCATGTACCATTGCTTTCAGATTTTGTGTATGATATGACGGTGCACTGACACATGACCTCCTTGGCACTGAATGCATGTACGTGTTGGCGGTCAAAAAGTCGGTCCGGTCATGGCTTGACAAACCGGGCCAGTTCCACCGTCCGGGAATGCATAGTGCTGAATGAATCAGCGCATTGTGATGGAGCTGTGCATAGCCAACAACAAGAAAAGCTATGTTCCTATCACTACTGTACAGTGTGCTCAGCAGTGCTGTACCTCTGTCAGGTCATAGTATTCCTGTAGTTCACTGCACTGATGTCCATGGGTGCATCATCTGCCATGAGGTACACATAGAAAACAACATGAACAGTCATAATCAGATCTCCCTCTGAAACAGCCTCGCCCCGCTCCTATCACATTTCACCAATAACTTGCATTCAACTACGAGCCTACGAGTAACTTTATTAATCTTGTACTGAAATAGACACTACTGAATCTGCTATATTCTCCCGCTCCTCTCTCTCTCTCTCTCTCTCTCTCTCTCTCTCTCTCTCTCTCTCTCTCTCTCTCTCTCTCTCCTCTCTCTCTCTCTCTCTCTCTCTCTCTCGCTCTCTCTGCTCTCTCTCTCTCTCTCTCTCTCTCTCTCTCTCTCTCTCTCGCTCTGCTCTCTCTCGCTCTCTCTCTCTCTCTCTCTCTCTCTCTCTCTCTCTCTCTCTCTCTCTTCTCTCTCTCTCTCTCTCTCTCTCTCTCTCTCTCTCTCTCTCTGTATGTATGTATGTATGTATGTATGTATGTATGTATGTATGTCTCTCTGTCTTTTTCTACTATTCCTCCGCCACTCCCTCTCACAGCACCAGCTGTTAGTGTAGCTCCACAGGCATGTTGGACTAACAATTGGAGACTTTCTCCTGACTTGAATACAGCCAGAACAGATTGATAATATCATGAATGGAACACATCCTCAAACCAACCTGCTGAACGTGCAGCGTTGGGTAGCTGCTTGACATTGTTTCCTGCAAGGAGAGAGTGTGCGTGTATGCTGACTTACCATTGGGGAAAACAAGAATGTAGCTGCTGTCATCTGATTCCGAGAGTGTGCGTAGGTTCACAAATGTATTGTTGTGACAATCTGGGAGTATATAGAGGCAAAAAAAGAGCTCAAACCTTGGAATGGCAGCATATTCCGCAACGACTTGGAGACCCCGGTGTGTAAGACTTGCTGGAATGCATGGATAATTGGATATAAGTTATAATGTTTCAAGACAAAAGAAGAGGGCCGCATTCACCTTTCAATGCTTCAAACTTGTGCAGAGTACGTGGGTGCCACCATGGCTCATGGGACATGTGCGAGAGTCTGTGCCGAGACCCCCGTGTTGTGTATGGAGTGTTACACAGAAATGATGTGAGTTAGGAATGGTCATTTCTTGTGAAACGTTTTGGCTATGCAGTGCATGTAACTTATGTTGGAGTTCACTAAATCTGCCCATGCGGCATTGCCCCACCGTGGTCAAGACTGCAAAGTGAGCGAGGAAAGTGTTGCAATTCCAAAGACATTGAGACACATGCATGTGACAAATACTTTGGACCTTTACTGTCTTTTAGCAGTGCATTTCTTCTGGCATCCCGCTGAATAACATTGTTCAACACCACAGTAGTAACCAAGCTGGAGAAGTACAGTTATGCTCGGTGAAATCCGACCCGAAGTGCAAAGCTGACACCTTGGACCAGTTCCGATTACAAGTACATCATTGTATTTGCACATGTGTACGTCCAGCTGCATTCGTGCCACTTCCAGGGCACGCACGTTGAGGGCACCAGACATGCACTCTTGGTCAGAGTTCACCGAGCACAACTCAGTGTAACTGTATCATGTTCACTGCAGACAATCTCACCGTGCAGGAAGACTTGCTCCGGTGGTGTGGCGTGAATAGTGCCCATGCACGGCGTTCCCTCGCCCCAGTACTCCACCAGGAAATCGTCACGCCACTGCAGGGTAGAGAACATGGAGGTGCGCTCACAAGGTTCACAACATGCTACATATTCATCATCAGCAGCAGAAATGTGGTGCTACCGACGTCTGCTCAGAGTATCCTGGATGGAGAAGCGCACAAATGACAGTATCCTGGTGGAGTTGGGAGTACAGAGACAGCTGCTAGCCAGGGTCAAGATACGCAAACTGACCTATTTCGGGCACACATGCCGCCCATCTGGCTGCGAGCTTGTACGTGACGTGATGTTTGGTGTCGTGGATGGTAAGAGAAAGCGTGGTCGTCCGAAGATTTCCTTTGCTGACAATATCATTTCGTGGACTGGTATGTCTCTGCATGAGAATTGCCAGTTGGCATCTGACAGAGATGCCTGGCAGTCGCACTGTGCATCTACTGCTTACACAGCTGCATAATGCCGTTTATTACTATTTATTTTTTTTAAATTTACTATTATTATTTTTTCGGCAACGCAGATGATGATGATGATGATGATGACATATTGCACTGCACTAAATCACCATCAGATTTACACGCATGTACATGTACACTGATCAGAGCAGTAACCGTTGAACACCCACTCGCAGCGGAATGAAAACTGCAATAAGAAAACATATCCCAATGCAGAAGTAAGGGTGAGGTTTCTTGCAGTTTCATTTAGAAGAGACTGGCGTTTGAGCGGACAAGCACCTTCCCATCACTCTGCAAAACACTGAACACCGTTTTCATATCGATTTCAGCAATGCTTTGGCATTTCGCCATCATCCGGTTTCATAGGAACGAGCTTGTCAGCTCAAATGCCTTTCTTATATCCTAATGCAGCGGAGATTATCACGGACAGGAAGAATTCTTACGTCGGCACATAGGGCATTTTCCAGAACGGGTCTCAGGCTGCGGCCGTCCATATCATCCGGAACCTCTCCTCCGGCCAGCTCGATGAAGGTCGGTGCTAAGTCAATGTTGAGTGCAATTCTGGGAGTTTTCTGGCCCTTCACCACACCAGGACCACGCACAATTAGCGGCACGCGGATATCCTCATCATATGGCTGCCGCTTCTCTCCCTACTCAAGAACAGATGTCACGACGAGAGAAAATGTGCAGAGAAAGAAACAGAACTTAGAAGAGAGGAAGAAAAACAGATGAAGTGAGACAGAGAGAACAGTGTGAGAAAAGAGAAAGATAGCATGCAAGAAAAGAAAGAGCAAATACATTCGACAATACAATCTGCAAATGTCACCGAATAATGTCAGCGGCACTGAGCTAGGGTGCATCAAGCCATCTGCCATGCCAACTAACCTAGTACACACGTACACCTAGATGCAACTAGCGTAGCACCAGCATACTGAGTAGCCATACCTGCTGATTGAACTGTCCCAGATGATAGCCATGGTCGCTGTTATAGAAGATGTAAGTGTTGTCCAGAACACCGCCCGTCTGAACACCAGCACACAACACAACACAATATGTCATATCGCTCGCTTACCATAAATTACATGTGCCAGATATACCCAATGCTGTAGACCGGCAGCAAGCTGTTTCGGCCATATAGGCATCATCAGTAGAGCTACGAGCTTTTTTAAAAGTAAGCCGAGCTACCAGCCATGGTGCAAAGGTGCCAGAGATATCTAACGGGATCCGCGAGGGAAGTCTTGTGATGCCCACATTCATAAGGTACCCGGCAGCGTATCCCTGGTAGCTCGGTTTGCTCACTACAGCACAATACCAGGAATTACGGCATTGTTAGTCCAGCTCAGAACATTCGGTCCCACCAGCTGACGACCCAGTGACATATTTTCATCCAGCAGACTAAATAATCCTTGTGAGTATGTGTTTTTTTTCTTTCTTTCAACAAAATCCATGTATCCGAGTTCAGATACTGAAGTGAATAGTGGAGTGTGGTGGTGGGGCCCATTACGCTCAGCCGACCAGAGGTCTCAGCTTCATAGCTTGTGTGTGTGTGTATGATTCACATTGTACATGCTCCACCAGGGGCGTACGCCGCTCGCCTCCAGGAGTGGTTCCCATGCCAACTGATGAACCACCATTACACACAATTGAAATGCTGTTTTTCGTACCCCACAGAGTTTCTGCATATTCTACTCAGACTGGGTGAAATTGACATCCACAAGCTGCTGGACGATGTCATTGCTACGCATTTATGGTTTTAAAAGACTGTACTTTTCCCGTTTTATTGATGTTTTGTTCAGCATTACGATTGCATGCAGTCTTGAAAGCTGCCTAAGTTTCGAATCATCTGGAGCAAACATCACACAGGGCAAGCAGAAGCCACCATTGCATGCCTGTCAAAAGACTATCCAGGGTAACTCCTCCAACAAGGATAGTTGAAAGCGGCGCTGTTTGCCATCCATCTGGATACGCACAGGAAATGAAATCCTTCGCCTGCGGTGGCGTACAATGATTGTCGATGACGGAAATCTTTTCCGTGTCCAGCAAATTTTGGGGGACTGGTTTCCACTGTGGACGTCGACTTTCAGAATATCCCTTCCAACACACTCCCATGTCATTGAAGTAAGTTTTGGATGATCCAGCAGCTTCCAACAACGGTCGCTCAGTACAGCTTCGCCGACGATTTCTTCCTCAGCTCTGCTCGTTGCATGCATACTTCACTTGCACGTCAGGTGCGTCTGCATTCTCATCTATCGCTTGACCTTCGCCACTAGCACTGGCTACACACTTTGCCTGCAGCTTAAAATAGCTCTGAATGTCGACTCTTCATTTTTCTTTTCCACAAAGCGAAAGCATCGTCAAAACACGACCAACTTTGTCAAAACAAACTCCAAAAGAAAATTTGACTCTGAGATAGAGGAATCCGGCGATGTAACTAGACTAGAGACTTTGTTGAACCCATGATGGGTTCAGGCATGGCCCAGTTCAGTAGATCTACGCTGTGTCCCACTCCCAGCACCACTTTCACACCTGGGCTAGTCACCGTCCTCGGACCATCAGGGGCTACGCGGACTCCAGACATGCACTGCATGCACTTGCACTGTGAGTCTGTGCGCGCGATACTATTAGTATTACTAGCGCTGGGCCTGGATCAAAAAATTCTCTGTACCCATATCGAATTTGTTTTACTGGTTCCCGGGCATCCCGGGAACCGCCCTATGTACGCCCCTGCTCCACTAACCTGCAAAGTCATTACAACCTCCTCCAGCAGGTCATCAACTGACTGCAATGTACGCCAGCGATCCAGGCACAGTTCGTCCACGGTCTTGATAGTTGTGTTGTCCATTTGTGGAGTACCTGCCAAAACGAACACGCACACAGAGATCAGCTCACATTACATGCACGGTGCTTTGTTATTTGATGCGAGGGTTTTTTGTTTTTCGGGGACTCAACCAAACTGGACTGGAAACAGCATGGGCATCCATGCACATGGACACACAGACTTGCTTCTTTTCCTTTAGATAACAGTAGTAGACAACACTGGGAAACCGTGCAGTCATAACAGAATCAGACGTGTTCTGTGCCACACCAATGTGTGACTGGTCATGGTGTTCCAGCTGGGTTCAGCCTCTCAACCACCTTTTAAAAAATAGTGACAAACCACACTTTCCAAACAGGACACAAGATGGGCTTCTGATTGTATCCAAGTTCGTCTTCTACACACATGTAATTTTATCTAAGCTTTGCCAGGACTTCTACAAAAAGGGCAATGATGCCTGCTGTAGCAATGCATTAGGGACGTAAAAAGTAACAAGCAGGCTTGGGAATTATGATGCCTCAAAGCAGCGCGAGACTGCTCATCAGCTTGCCGGGGTGCGTTCTGAAATGGAACTGTACCTGTAACTATCACACCTAACTGTGCATGTGTGTCGACCTTCATGCAATATCTTGTTCTCTTGTCATGATGCATGTAACACTGTTGTTCCAGCTAGTTCCGCTAGTGTTGTCCGTGCTAGCGCTTTGTTCTCCTGGCGCCCGCGGCCCGATCATGTATCAAGGCAGCGCAGTGCATGCATGCAGTGATTGTGGTGTCGCGCGTGTGGAGCTGGTGCGTGACACGTGCTGGTCATTTTGATACTCCGCCATATTTTCTCCTTTGGACTTGGTCCTTCGTTTGGGACCGGGTCTTCCGCCTTCTTTCTTCTTGGCACTCGACTTTAGTTTTAGTTTTGTTTGCTCTCCCAAAATACAATGTGAACCATTACTCTCTGGCTTGTCGCGTGTGTCCGTCGGAGGGAGTGATTAGTTTACAACGTGGTGCCGAAACCCGGGATTGAACTAGGGCCGTCGTGAGTTGCGACTGCGGAGTTCAGGATGTCGAGTCTGAAAGTCGACGGTTTTGTCAAGCCCTTTCGGGGCAAGAGCAATGAGAGCTGGCAACAGTTTTGGGCAAAGTTCCTCGTTCTTGCGGAGATCCAGGGCTGGGATGATGAGGCTAAGCGCATGAAGCATTTCCCTCTGTTTCTTGCGGATGACGCGTTCCTGGTATTTCAGGGAATGGCGGATGCGGACCGAAAGAAGCAGGACGAGGTGGTTAAATTGATGCTATCGTCCTTCAGTATGACGAAGTCTGCTGCGTACGAGGCGTTTGTGGTGCGGAAAATGAAGTGCGACGAGTCCACCGATGCATTTGTTGCAGATCTGAAGCGCCTCGCGGAGTTATCCGGTCACAAAGTGACAGACGACAAAGATCCTGTGGTAGTGCAGCAGTTGTTGAAAGGCCTCCCTGCCGACTACAACCGGCAAGTACGGCTCAGTCTCGTGGGAAAGGACATGTCGATAAGCGACTGTGTGTCTATTGTTCGAGCTCTGAGAATTTCAGATGCCAGCGGAGGTGACAGTGTGTCAGCTGCCGCCTCGTCGGGTGGTGCAGCGACCAGGAGTGGTCCTACCAGTACCAAGTCACACTCACAGGCTGGATCTAGCGCGAAGCCCTCGGGCCTCTGTTTCAAGTGTGGCGAGCCTGGGCACATCCGCAGGAATTGTCCCAGCAGAAGAGCAGGCGGAGGTGGAAGGAGCCAGCCGATTACCTGTTTGTTCTGCGACGGTGCTGGCCATGTAAAGGCTGACTGCCCTGAGAGGAGAGATTGGCTGGCAAGGAAGGACAGGACTGCAGCTGCCGTGGAAAGTGCTCGCCCACAACCAGCTGTGCAGGAGAACGACCCATGCCTAGTCTCCCTGGCCTCTCCTGGAAAGCTGCCTCGTATGTACGTGGATGTGTCTGCTGGAGCGGCGAAATCGAGTGTTCGTGCGCGGGCTGTCGTAGACACCGGTTCAACTCGTACGCTCATCTCGCGGTCCTTCGCCACTCAGCATGGCATCAGTCTTTCACCCACGGCTGCTCCACCCATACTTGCCTTGGATGGTAGTCCCCTAGAGCTAGTGGGGTCAGCTGCCGTTCGGTTGGCCCGTTCTGACGGTGCGGTCTCTCTGCCCGGCCTGGAAGTGCAAGCGTATGTGGTCGACAATCTGAGCGTGGTCAACGCTGATGTGCTCGTCGGCAATGATGTGGTCATTGGCAGTGGCGGGCTTCGACTGAAGTACTCCGGTGATGGTGCCTTGATCGGCGTGGAATTTGGCTACGACCGAGTCGATCCAGGGGACAGCATGGGAGTCTGTGGTGCGTCTTCGAGCGGCGATCGCCATCCATTTCCCAATGTACGCGTGCAGCGTGATGGTGATGATGTCACCCTGTCCACGGATGACGGGGATGTCACCTGGGACAGCAGCGCCCGTCGGTGGGTCCTCTCTTGGCGCTGGAAATCAGGCAGTCCTCCGACTCAGCCGGTGGGACCTGGCGTGAGTGAGTACTCTCGCTCTAAGCTCACTTCTGACCAGGAGCAGCTGTTTGCAGAGGAGGTGCAGAAATGGATCGATGCGGGTTGGCTCGTTCCTCACGACAAGGATGTTCACGGAAGCCCTGGTGCTGTGTTACCGCTGATTGCTCAGTTGCAGGAGCACAAAGCATCAACGCCGGTTAGACCATGTCTAGATTATCGGCTCCTCAACCAGCTGCTGATGTCGCAGCCTGGCCGCTCAGCACCCGTCTGTGAGGAGACGCTGCGCAAATGGCGACTGGCCGGTGACCCTCAGGAGTTTCAACTACTCGATATCAAGAAGGCCTATCTCCAGGTGTACGTTGCACCCGAGCTGCAACGTTTTCAGATGGTGGTCTGGCAGGGCCAAGCGTTTGTGATGACGCGGATGGGCTTCGGCCTCAACGTAGCGCCCAAGTTCATGGATATCATCGTCCGGTGGGTCACTAGAGAGTTTCCTGCTGTCGACAACTACGTCGACGACCTGATGACTCCCGCTGCCGAGGCTGACGCAGTGGCCGCCCACATGGCTGAGTACAGTTTGCCAACGAAGCCTGCAGAGGCGTTTGCTGAGTCCCGTGTGTTGGGCCTTCAGTTGACGAAAGGCGACGATGGCCAAGTGCAGTGGTCGCGCCGTACCGACATTCGCCTGAAGCTCGAGCAGCCGGCGACCAAGCGCGATATCTTCAGCTGGTGTGGCCGCCTGACGGGGCACGTGCCTGTCTGTGGTTGGCTGAGACCCGCATGCAGCTACTTGAAGCGCATGGCCAACGCTAGCGCGGCATGGGATGAACAGGTCCCAGCCTCACTCTTGAAGCTGTGTGGTGAAGTGGACGCGCGGCTAGCTGGTGATGGTGATCCTGCACAGGGCCAATGGCGTGCCAACTCTCCCGAGCCTCGTCGCTGCGTAGTTTGGGCTGACGCGTCCAACATCGGTCTTGGCGTCGTCCTGGAGATCGATGGCTCTGTCATGGAGGATCGTTCTTGGCTGAGACCCCACGGTGACGCGCGTCACATCAACATCATGGAGCTGGAGGCCGCTATCCGAGGTCTTTCGCTGGCCGTGAGCTGGGAGATGAAACATGTGCGGTTGATGACCGACTCCAAGACGGTTGCGAGTTGGCTCAGAGATGTCACTGGCGACGTGCGCCGGACGAGGACGAAAGGACTGCATGGTGTACTAGTCCAGCGTCGACTCCAGATTCTCGCCGACCTGATTGTCACGGCAGGGCTCGTTGTCACGATCGAGTGGGTGCCGACTGACCAAAATCGTGCAGACGTGCTGACTCGAGTTCCTCCTACGTGGGTGAAGTTCTGCAAGGCGCTACTGGGCGACAGCGAAAGTGATGTCGCAGGTGCAGCTGTAGTCCTGCCCGGACCAATCCCTCTCGCGAAGATTGTGGCGAAGCAAGGTACTGACGACCAGATACTGGCAGCAGTGGCGCAGTTGGAGTCCGGTGCAACGGTTACTGCACCCTATGCAGCAGCGGCGTCCCAACTGGAGATTGATGATGGTGTCCTTGTCAGAAGCATCAAGCTACCTGTCGAGGGCCTCGTTCGTGTTCCTGTCGTGCCGCAATCGCTCGTTGCCGATGTTGTCTCGAATGCACACCAGATCTCGGGACATGCGAGCTGGGAGGTCATGTATCGCATGATCCGAAGCCGTTGCTTCTTCCCTGGCATTGCTTCGGCTTGTCACCAACATGTTGATAGCTGCACGCAATGCAAGTCTGCTAGTGGACGGAAGGGTGCCAGAGCTGCGCCGACCCGCGCCGACATACCTGGGTCCCCATGGAGCGAAGTCACGATTGACACGCTGGAACTCGGCGGTGATGGAAGCGGCAAATACGGCTGTGTCCTCGTCTGTGTGGACAATTTCACCAAGTGGGTGGAGGTGTGCCCGCTCCGCCGACATGACGCTGTTAGTGTTGCTGCAGCCTTCTCGGCCATGTGTTTTCGATGGGGTGCTCCCGAGGTCGTGCGGCTGGACAACGGCGTGGAGTTCCGCAACGCCATAGTGGAGTCTTTGTTTCGCCTGATGGGTGTGCGTGTGCGAACCGGAGCAGTCCGTCACCCCCAGTCCCAAGGGACAGCAGAGAGGTTCAATCGAACGCTCCTCACCCTCATCCGCAAGACCCTCGAAGAGTCACCGAACTGGCGTGCTGACCTCGATGTGCTGCTGTTTTATTACCGCAATCGTCCGCACGGCTCGACCCATTTGTCACCCATGGTGGCAATGAGCGGATGGCAGCCTCGCCATATCATCATTGACGACGTGAAGGAAGCGTGCGATATGACCCAGTGGGCGTCAGAGTTGTCGTCGCGCGTAGCTCGTGTGCGGGATATCATTGAGACGGAGCTTTCAGCCCGGGATTTCATTGACTCACCGAACGAGCCCTGCGCATACTCTGTGGGTGATCCTGTCCTGTTACTGCGGCCTGGACGAAGGCAGAAGCGGCTGTCCCCGTATGAGCCTGGATGGAGTGTTGCGGCTATCGTCTCGCCATCGACTGTGGTCATAGCCAGACAAGATGAGCGCCAGCACCCAAAGACCGTGAACGTCGATCTGCTGAAGCCTGATTCACCCGACAACCCTGTGATGCGCACGACGGCCGCTGAGAGTCAGGCAGATGACGGCGCGGCAGCCGATGCTAACGAAGAACCAGACCTGCTCGGCATGGAATTAATGCCAGCCCAAGCAGACGCTCCGGATGGTAATCGCTACAGCTTGCGAGATCGAAACGCAATCCAGCCCCCGGTCCGTTACAGCTAAAACGGCCAAGAGTTTTTTGCATTCTTGTCGCCAGGTGATGGGGTGAAATGGAACTGTACCTGTAACTATCACACCTAACTGTGCATGTGTGTCGACCTTCATGCAATATCTTGTTCTCTTGTCATGATGCATGTAACACTGTTGTTCCAGCTAGTTCCGCTAGTGTTGTCCGTGCTAGCGCTTTGTTCTCCTGGCGCCCGCGGCCCGATCATGTATCAAGGCAGCGCAGTGCATGCATGCAGTGATTGTGGTGTCGCGCGTGTGGAGCTGGTGCGTGACACGTGCTGGTCATTTTGATACTCCGCCATATTTTCTCCTTTGGACTTGGTCCTTCGTTTGGGACCGGGTCTTCCGCCTTCTTTCTTCTTGGCACTCGACTTTAGTTTTAGTTTTGTTTGCTCTCCCAAAATACAATGTGAACCATTACTCTCTGGCTTGTCGCGTGTGTCCGTCGGAGGGAGTGATTAGTTTACAGTTCTTGATCGTGTTCTGGAAATGGATGAGCGAGTCTCAACCTTTGATGTTATGTCACATGTACATGCAGATTATACACACACACACACTGCATGCCGTGCAGTCAATCCACAATCAATTTAAAACGGACGGCAGTGGGCAGAGGAAACAAGATAGATGGTGGGATAGTGCCAGGGTCATGGTCCCACTACACCCCAGACAGTTCAGTACGCAATCTCAGTCTCACTCAGCCATGCCACATTCTCAATGAGCCATGTGACATTACTTTCCTTGGCTACAAATCAATTTGGGCGGCTCTCGTGCAGCATTATACGGTAATCTCACACATCATCATCATTCTTCATCATGCATCATTTTACCTCCACTAATGATCCAGTGCTTGTCATCGGGCTTGAAGCCATACGACGGTGAGCGTGGAGCTGTCTCATTGCTAAACATGTTGGCGTACTGAGGTGCCGGCGTGGCTGGACGATGCGGTGCAGGCGTAGCAATGTACATGAAGAACGGCTTGCTGGCATCCTCCTGGAAAGGGCAAAGTTCATCCATCATTGAATAATTGGGGTTCAATGGCCAAAAGCCAGCTGCATGGCTCAGCTTGCGGAAGGCTGAACCAATGATAAGGTGGTGTGTTACAATCATTATACGTACCAGGTAGGAAGGTAGTAGAAGGGATGCAGAGCCATGGGGTAGTCAGCTGACACCAGCCTCAATGCATGTGCGAACAGAATTGGACGTTTCTTAAAACAAAAGTGTGGTAGAATCCAGCTGCGGGCTGAATTTGACACCCCTAGTCTAGGGCCTAGATATAAACATCATACATGTGCATTCTCGGTGCCAGACTCCAATGGACTGCAACTGTTCAGCAGGCATTATACCACTGAGTACTAGTAACCGCTTTGAAGTAGCCATGTGTGTGTGTGTGTGTGTGTGTTTGTGTGTGTGTATTTGTGGATGTATGTGTGCATACATGTGTGTACTTCAAAGTACTTGTGTATCATTGTGTATGTGTATTTGTGGGTGGGTGTGTGCATGTGTGCGTGTGCACGTTCGCGAGATTTACTTACAGTGGTAGCATTCTTGATAAAGCTCACGGCATTACGTTTGATGACATCGGTGAAGTAATCCTTCTCGTAGTCGGTGCCATGTTTCTCCAGAACACCATTGTTACTCACAGAATAGTCATAGAAGCGACTGGTAAAGAAGGCGGAAAATGCACAAAATCGATCTCAAATGGTAACTGTTCATCGTTCCTATCAAGAAGGTGTAGTCCTCGCCATGTCAGTACGCCAGTACACTGTAGGCATTCCAGTTTTGAGCATACACCATGCAGGTGAAGTACCTAGTACCTTGGTACGTATTCGCTAACTTAGTAGAAATGTACTTAGGTAGATGTTGTCAACACTACGTTGAACAACTAGCAAGACAGTATTCATTTAAAAGGATTCCCCAAAGGCAGCTCGCCTGTCGAGGGGTTTTCCTGAGTATGTGTAGATAAAAAACGGTGCTTACCTGTTTCCTACCAAACCAAACCAGGTGTCCCAGCCCTGCGGGATGTGAGTCACGTTGACACCAGTCGTCGGATGTGCGTAGTTGTTCAGGTACTTTCCTACACGAGATCATGCCGACCAACACATAGATGCACGTTTATACACATGAGTATGCATGTAGTGATGCTATTGGATATCAACAGGCACAAGAATACGGCTGTTCAGTACACTATGCGTCTGCACAATATGCATATCTGCTACATACTATGCACTATCAGACCCAATAGTAATAACCAATGTTTGGTTTGGAGCTTTTCAACGTTTTCGTTTTCGTTTCCATTTTTTTCTTTTTTCTTCTACAAATGTTGCTAAATATTGCGACAGAGCTTTCGGCCATATTTTCAATTCATTGCATTCCCAACTCATCACAACCACGCGCTCTTCAGCCGAACCATACAGACACCAGCAAGGACACTTCCGTTGAGAGATAATATTGCTCCACGCCTCTAGACAGCTGTTTCGCTCCCTGTCGGAGCTCATCAGTAGAGGATGATAATGATGATAATGGAGGAATGATCATTCTTATACACCAGAAATGGCGCAAGTGCGCGCTTTCCACATAATATCAATGGCATATGCAAGCTGCTAAAATGGTAAAGTGTGAGAACAGCGATAAATAATCATAGTACGCGCTCATTGGTGGAGAAACACACCACACAAGCGACGAAAATCTTACTCGGAATACTGATGCCAATGGAAAGTACATGTATGTTGTTTATTATTATGATGTTGCAATGTCCATGTATGCAGGCGAGGCGAGACTCACCGCGGAGATCCCCCGCCTGCATACATGGACATTGCAACATCATAATAATAAACAACATACATGTACTTTCCATTGGCATCAGTATTCCGAGTAAGATTTTCGTCGCTTGTGTGGTGTGTTTCTCCACCAATGAGCGCGTACTATGATTATTTATCGCTGTTCTCACACTTTACCATTTTAGCAGCTTGCATATGCCATTGATATTATGTGGAAAGCGCGCACTTGCGCCATTTCTGGTGTATAAGAATGATCATTCCTCCATTATCATCATTATCATCCTCTACTGATGAGCTCCGACAGGGAGCGAAACAGCTGTCTAGAGGCGTGGAGCAATATTATCTCTCAACGGAAGTGTCCTTGCTGGTGTCTGTATGGTTCGGCTGAAGAGCGCGTGGTTGTGATGAGTTGGGAATGCAATGAATACAAATGTTGCTGTTGCAATTAAAGGGGAAGTTAAGGCAAAAATTAAAATTTCACCAGTTGTAGTCTTCGGGGTGCTGAGTCGAATGGTCTTGGTCCGAGAAAGCTGAGACGCTCCCTTCCTACTTGAATCCCAATCGAACTCGCGCACTTCCACCGAAACTGGGTGACTGCGCCCTACTAGATGGGGGTTTGTATGCAAAATGTCACTAAAAGCGCCATTTCGTTCTTATAAAAGCACAGATGACCGCGATTGGCCCATATGTTGTAGTCTTTTGGACGCTGAGTCGACTGGTTTTGGTCCGAAAAGGCTGCGATACAGCGTTCGCCCCAAATTCCCAATCGAACATGGTTGAACAAGCGGTCACGTGCTCCTGCGTACACCAGTCAGCTGGTCACCGTGCCTGCAGGGTACAACTTACAGCCTGTTTTGACCTTTTTTGGGTGCAGTCCTGTCACTCGAGTTGAACCTTGGTGTGAAAGTTGTCGCCTGCTGGCGTTGTGACCAGGTGATTTGGGCACCCAGGAGTACGTGACCACTTGTTCAACCATGTTCGATTGGGAATAAAGGAGGAACGCTGCATCGCAGCCTTTTCGGACCAAAACCAGTCGACTCAGCGTCCAAAAGACTACAACATATGGGCCAATCGCGGTCATCCGTGCTTTTATAAGAACGAAATGGCGCTTTTAGTGACATTTTGCATACAAATCCCCATCTAGTAGGGCGCAGTCACCCAGTTTCGGTGGAAGTGCGCGAGTTCGATTGGGATTCAAGTAGGAAGGGAGCGTCTCAGCTTTCTCGGACCAAGACCATTCGACTCAGCACCCCGAAGACTACAACTGGTGAAATTTTAATTTTTGCCTTAACTTCCCCTTTAACATTTTTATCAATCAATTT